ATTTAACCCCCTTCCAGCCACAGCACAGGGAGGGACAGACACTCCCAGCCGCAGGGCCCAGCCGGCCCCATGCATTGCAAGCCCGCAGGCCGGGAATCCCTGCCCACGGGCCATGCCACCTGCCCGGCCTCCCCCATCTCCCTGCAGGCCCTTCTGAGCCCCTCAGAAGGTAAAACAGCCCTGCCCATGTCCCGGAGTGCGGGGAGCGCTGTTCAGTCTTCCTCACGGGCCTCTCTCCAAAGGCAACTTCCATGCACAAGGCACCCCCTGTACAGAGCCTGGGAGGGGCATAGCCAGAGCCAGGATGAGAGGCCAACTTGGCTGAATTGAGCCCATAGTTGAACCAGCCCTGAGGCCCAGAACACAAGCTAGCAGGCCCGGACAGCCCCGCCAGGTGCCCCAGGAATGATACTGGAGCCCAGCTGAGCGCGTGTAGTTTTCTTCCACTCCTGCAGGGGGAGCAGGGCACAACCCAAGGGTAGGGGGTGATGGAGACAAACCCAACAAGCAGCTACCTGTTTACAGATCCCCCCTTCCCACTGTGCCCCCCCTCCCTTGGATTCTGCCCCCCCATGCCACCCTTCCAAGGCTGGAAGATCTGCCCTAGCCAGCTGGGAGGGGAATCTTCCTGCCACTCTGCTCCCTCCCTTGAGCAGCATATGGGTTCACCACCTGCCCTAGCCCTTGCTCGGTCCCTGTGGCACAGCCACCTCAGTGCTTCTGCTTGCCCAGCAGCATTTGGCTCCAGCCTAGGGCCCACACCTGAGCCAAGGAGACAAAAGGAGGGGTTATGCTGGGCAGATACAGCGGAGGAGAGGTGTCTGTGTACATAAGTGTGCACGCCTTCCCTGCCAAGGAACAGTCTGGGCCTCACCTCCCGGCATCCCTGTGAGGTTGCAAGAGGAGGGAAGTCTCGTGTGTCTGCACCCACCCCCTAGGACTGTGGGTCAGTTTGCTCCAAGGCCCGGGACAAGGGGACCCCCTCACACACAGTAGCTGGAAGGGGGGGAAAACTGGTCGGTGGCTCCCTGGCTCCAGGCTCACTCAGACTTTCTGGAGCAGAGATGGAGGCTCCTGCCCCACTCTATGGGGTAGAGGCAGGGCCCCCTTTCGGAGTGGCAGGAGGGAACAGGTGGGCTCTGCTCTGCTCAGCCTCCCTTGCCCAGTGGTCAGGGCTCCACCCTGCCTGGCTGGAAGATCCAGGCTGTGCCCCTTTCCCTGCACAAGGCCGCCAGGGCCTTCTCTGCCCTTCCAGAGCCACAAAGCCACCAGGTTTCCCCGGGCAGCCCGATGTCTCATGGCACACCCAAGAGGCTGGAGCCCCCCAGTCCTCACGCTCCAGCCTGCGATGGCTCCAGGCAACGTGGCCAGCCCTGCAGCTGCTGCGGTGGGTGGTTGGGCAGAGGCTCTGGCACCCTGAGGTTCTGGGCTGGTCACTTCCCACCAAGTCACTCGCCTGTAACAAGGTCTCTGCTGGCAAGCACACAGGAGCCCCGGGAGTGCCATGGCTATCTTTGGGGGCGGGGTTCGCCCCTGGGGAACCTCTTTCCCAGCGGATGGGATTACAGACTAACCCTCCAACACCTGCTATCAGGCAGTGCAGCCTGGAGCACCCAAGGCTGGCCTGGCAAACTGCACGCTCTCCATCCTGGTAGCCCTGACACCCGATTCCAGCTGGGCCCCAGATGGGCCTCAAGGCCAGAGGGTGGCCCTGGGCCAGGCAGTCCCAAACTAGCTTGCCAAGTAGCACCAGGTCTCTCCACAGGCCTCACTCCCAGGGCCCCAGTGGGTTGCGTGTGCAGAGTCTGGGGACTGGGCTGGGACCCACGTTCTTAGCACTGCGACGGGGCTGGGCCCCAGCCAGCGGCCCCCAAGGTCCAGGCAGGAGGCCGAGCTCCCTGTGAGCCAAGGGGCAGCCCTGGGCCTGCAAAGTCTCCCAAGGACAAAGCGAGCTGCAGGGGGTGACCCTGTTGACAAGTGAGCCCGTGTCTTGGAGGGAGGGGCACAGCCAGAGCAGCCGCGGGATGGAGCAGAGCCTCAGGGGGAGCATCTGCCCGGTTGGGAGGAGGCTCTGACTCTGCTGTGTGATTTTATTGGCGTGGAGCCCTTCGGTGCCATCATTCAACTGGCATCTCGCACCCCTGAGCCTGTTGCTGTGACCCCGATGTACCCACAGCTATGAGCGGGGAGCCAGCAGACACTCACAGCCAGGCGCACTGGTCCCTGGGGGAGACGCTCTGAATTCTGTCCACTTCCCATGGCGCTGGGCTGATATGAAGTGACCATGCAAGGAAGGGACTTGCCGGGTGGGATCCCAGCCTGCAAGATCTCCAAGTCAAGACTGGAGCCTTTCCAGGGGATCTTCTCCTGGCGTAGCCTGGGGCCCGCTCTGCAGAGGCTCTTGGCCTGTGCCATGCAGGAAGCCAGCCCGTCACAGTGGGTGGGTACGACTGCCACTTGCTGCCCCAGGCCCTGCATGCCCAAGGGCTGTGTCTCCAGCCGAGCACAGGGGACAGCTGGGATGCGCCTCGCCTCAGAGGTTCCAGCCCACCCCTCTGTGCAGCTGGCACCTCCAGACAAGTTCCACGGAGTCTGTGTTGGAAGAGTTGAGAAGACTGCAACCCTGGCCTGCAGTGACCGGCCGGAGGGAAGCAGCTTAGAGCCCAGAGACTCAGCGGGACTGTGGGGGGAGGGGGGAAGGAGAAGGAGGGGAGATACCTCCCTGTATCCAGGACCCACTTGTGGGCTCAGGAGGCCGTTTCTGGTAGGGACCAGAGAGAACTGTGATCTGATCTCCCAGGGCCTGTTTGCTGCCCATGTTGCTCCTGTGGCCCAAGGGGGTTCCTGCCCTGACTGTAGCAGTCGTGCCCGAGGGACAGTAGCAGGGTCAGCAGTGGAATTACCCACCTAGCAGTGTCGCACCGGTGGCTAGGCCAGTTCACGACATCGCAGGCTGTGCATGAGTGCTGTGGCTGGATTGGCAAGGCCTAGGCCTAGGCTAGGCTCCCGCTACGCTCTTGTTCTACTCTAGGGCAATGTACAGCCCCACAGCTCAGCTGGCTGATTGCAGTCCAGCAGAGCAATCCCAGGAGGATCAGCTACCCCACTAAGCCAGCCCCCAGCAGGGTCTCCCTGCTGCTTTAGTGCAGAGGCGGACAACTTCCTGCCCCCACCGCTGCTGTTCAATCCGCTTCCCCTGGCCGTGCCCAGCCCCATTAAAAAGGCAGACCAAGAACTGCTGCAACGTGTTTATTATGTGCCAAAAACTACACCACAGCTTACTCCACGCATCTGTAGGAGAGTGCAGTCTTGCCTGCATATACTACAATGAGGTAGAGACTTCACACAGCTTCACAAAAACCCCACAAGAGCAGCTGGGATATGCAAC